TATGAGGTGATCACATCTAACGTGTATAGTAAAGACAAACTCACCGTGTCTATCTAGTCATGATGAAGATGTATATACATTTCAATTTCAGCAGGCAACTATTTTTACAGCTACATTATTGTTCCAGCCACAAATCACAACAATGTATATACAATTACAAATGATTAAATATAAATCGTCAAATATAAATCGTTGTTTTACACACATGCACACAGACATTATTTCATACACGACATAGTCGTGAGATGCAAGAAACATAGACATATGGCAAGAAATCTGTAGACGCGCCCTCAACAACAAAAGACAATACTTTATCGAAACCTTTCCTGATAAGAAGTGTGCGCTGCAAACGCGAGCATTTTTGACGATCGTTTCTGTCCAGTCCACTCGTTTTATCGCGTTTAACCACAGCTGTCGTCGGTTTTTTGTCTAGCAGTAGCAGCAGATATGCGATCAAATGTCTAATTTGAGGCTGTATTACATCGATTCTGGCACCCAACATCACAACAAGATGATATTTTAAGCTCCTTAATGTAGCCAAATCTGCGCTGGTTTGAATGGGCCACCTCCAGTTTCCTCTGTTTTTTGCTGCCTCCAGCTAGCGCAGTCAGAAAGGTGTACAATATGTGACCTTTAAGGCCAGTGGAATTTTGTAACTATTCAGCTATGAAATCAGCAATATTGGTTACTTTTATGCACCATGCGCCTCAGCACTCGGTGAGCCCGCTCTGTGACATTACGTGATCTTCTGCTTCATGGAGTTGCTGCTGTTCCTAACTGCTTCCACTTTCTAATAATACCTTTTACAGTTGACCGTGAAATATCCAGAAGGGATCAAATTTGACAAACTGACTTAATGCTAAGGTGGCATCCTATCACAATGCCATGCTTGAATTCACTGAGCTCTTCAGACCGACCAGTTTTTTTCCCCCAAAAGTTTGTAAATGCAGACTGCATGGCTAGGTACCTGATTTTATACACCTGTGGTAATGGGCCTGAATGAAAGATCTGAATACAATCATTAAGAGGTGTGTCCCGATACTTGTGTGCATATAAGGGAGAATATGGTTCTATAGCTCTGAGAAAAACTTTTGAACTTTTCCTTCCTAATAACACCGGCTAAAATTAAACCTGTTGTGACATTAACATTTGCTGGGCCCTTTCAGACGATCTAATTCAATCAGAGGGGAGTACATCGGTTGACACCACTGATTTCATTGTGAAGGGAAAAAACGTGACTGACAAGACTTTATGCCCTCGGTCCATGCGACCTATCGGCAGACCGTTTTCATTAGCATTTCTCATTAGAGTTCTGTTGAAAATGATCACTGTGACATGCACAGACACCACTGAAACACTGACGAAAAAGAGTGTGTCTACATTTATTAGAGTTCAAAAAAATCCCTGTAGTTCAGAGAAAAAAAAGGAGCGGCAGAAAATCAATTGACTGTTCTGATTAAATTAATAAAGCACAAAATACCGCCATATCATTTTGATGTTTACCAAATTAAAATGGCAATCACTTTGCAAAACTCTTGTCAGGCATCTCATCTTCCGTTTAACCCGAGAGGTCTATTTGATATTGGTGGGAGCTCTTTTGGTCTCAGGATCATGGTGTACGTTTACATTTTTGCAGTTTAAATCCCAAATCATTTAATTATTTCCTATTTAATTCAAATGCGCTTTTGTGCGTCTGCAGCGAATAATTAGTCAGATTCCCACAGACCAAAGCTGATTCATAAATTCAGAAACAGAAACAGCTCTGGAGGCCTAATTAATAGGGTAAATATTGATTTTTAGACTATAAAATACAGCTTTTTTTAAGCAGGTAGCAGACGTTTTTAATTCATCTTTCTGGTATAGCCTGTGAATGAAAACTATATTAAAGGAGTCATGCAGCATATTGCATTTATCTTTTATTCCAAATATCTTTAGGGTTTATACCCGAAGATAGAATTGCAAACTACCCAATATGGCTTTGCATATTACACCTATGATTATGAATAGAAATTCTGATTGCTGAGAATAACATTGTGTCAATCTCCTTACACTACAATTGCAAAACACAGCAAATATGCTGCTTACACCCCTGCATGATCCTGAGTGAGAATGTCTAATATTGCAAAGAGCCTAGAGCTAACATCTGCAATATCATTCATAACATCCCTTCCAATTTCCATTGTAAGTGTTGTGCACTTTCATAAATATGGAACAAATCTGTGTAGGAATCAAGACAGACAAAAACCTGTCTTGTCTGAGTGGTTCGTGTAGCCATGGAGGGTGATGTAAAGGAAAGAGCTCAGGCCATGTGTGACCGCTGCTCTGTGTGGCCCTCGTGACCACTCTTCCACACACTGATATTTCCTTACAGTCAAAGGAAGAAGCTTCCTGTCTGCTTCAGTACATTGGTAATACCTACAACACACGAAGGAACACTAAAAATACCAGTAAGTGTTTCCTGACACGTCTTAAACACTCCTGTTTTCTCAGTAGCCAGTTTACCAAAGGTAGTGGGGAATGTTACATAAAGATAATGTAGGTTCAGAATCAGAATGCCTGGACACTGCATGATCACATGACCACACTTTTCATGCCTATGTAAATTCTCACCATGCAGTGGATTTGTGTACTTCTGTGCCATCTAGTGGTTAGGACCTGCCAACAATCCAATATTCTGTAGAAGGCTATATCTTTCTTTGGGATGAACAATACCTAACAGTCTATATTACAGATGTTTTTTTTTTTTTATTATTTTATTTATCTGTATTGGCTGATACTGGATATTTAATTGCGCTCATTTCCTGTATTTCCTTATACAAGACTCAACTAAAGTTAAAATGAAAAAAATAATAATAATTCAATATAATCTTTAGCAAACTTAAAATTGAATAATTAACTTTTACACTGAGAAATGGAGTAAAAATATTTTCACTCAGAAACTGCTAGAAATAGATTTGCTAGAAGTTTCAAAATTAAAAAGAAACAGCAAGTAACATTTAATTAAACATTAAATTTTGATACAAACGCTAAAATAGTATTTTCTATTCCAGTATATATTTTTTTCACACGATTTAGTTACATTTCTAGTATTTTATTTAATTTATTTATTCTGATCGGAATTGAATTTCAACATGCATCCCTAATCCATAGTTTAAATTACAATGACATAAATATACTTATGTGTGTGTTTAGGGTCAGGATGAACTTCAGAGCTCTTTTACTGAATAAACACGGTTCTTTTAGAAATTAACAGCATTTCCGTAAGGCAAATAAAGAGCAGATAACAATTTTACAGTGTTTGCATCATGCATCGAACTTTATTGAACCTTTTTCTTTTGAGATTGAAGCATTAAATAATACCATAATAAATAAAAAAAGCTATGTACATTGCCCAAAGGGGAAAAAAAGCAAACCAAACCAAATGTCAAGAACACACTTGCTAAAACCTGATTTAATGAAACAAATGCTTCCCTTTTGTTCTCGGCATGATCTCCTGAAAATATTTCATGCAACTAAGAAATTCCTATGACTGAAAAGTACGCCAGGTTAAAAAAACAAACTTTTTTTTCTTAATATTGGCATCAAGACGATCACTAAACAATATAACACCTTTCTTTGTACAACGTTGCACCAAATTTATACAAAACAGGTCCTAATCTTGAAACAGAGATCAACAACATAGGCAACTGCACACATAACAGAACTTGTGGTTTATGAAATAGGAAAAGTTGGAACTGATCTGACAAATCTCAACAGCACAGCCAAAATTGTGACTACAAATCTTTTCCATGATGCAACACATATTATAAGCACAACTACACTTTTTATTTTTTTGTTTGTTTGTTTAAGTAGGAGCTTTGATTGTTTTGACTGCAAGTCAGAGACTCGCTTACTTTTTTTTTTTTTATGTAAACGTTTCTCCAAAGGCACTGCTACCTAATGAGCCCAACAGTGCGGTAATTCAGAATCGTGGCTTCCCCTGAACTGGGACGTCCCGTTCCTTCTGGCCCATCACTTCCACAACAATCATGCTACACTTGTACTCCACAGTATTATTCCCTATTACAATATACAATCAAATCCACTTTCTTCCATCCTCTTATCTCTCACTGCCTTAGAGATCGATTTTATACATGTGATCAAATGTGCAAAATGCGGCACAAAATCATGATGGAAAGTAAAAGAAACACTTTCTTGGTACAGAAAATACTTAAAAAAAAAAAAAACCCTAATAAACCCTTATATATTTATTTTGCACATGCCCATGTTCGACTATAAACAATACTGACATTTGTGCTTCAATGGTCTAAAGCAATTACACCAAATTACTCTTGCTAAGTAAGAAATAAATACCCTGTGCCTGCAATTATATTCCTAACTATATCCAAACAAGGCCATTATTTTACCCTCTAAACCTAAACAGAGCAAAAAACGGTAAGTTTGCTACAATATTCATGAGTGATGCATATTTATGAATGACTGCAAGGCACACATGCTAACATCTATAGCATGCTGCAGATCAGGGGGCTCATCCAGTCCCTGCTACACACTAACAAAATAAAAGGACCAAAATGATGAAAGGCAAGATTTGCTTGACAAGAACAGGCCATAATATGAATACTCCAGCCTCTATTACAAAGAAATATATTTTTGATGTCATTTACTCCATTTACTTGCTTCACTGCAGAACACTGGCAATTTTGTGCAATAAAGGACCATGAACTACTTTAAAAGGTTGAAAAAAGTAAAAAATAAATAAATAAAAATCCATGGAAACATAAAAACTGAGGTTTCTGTGTTTAAAAAATGCGCCATCTTAAAGAAAAGAAAAGAAGCCGCTGTAAGAGCAGTGATCCCTTTATGATTAAAAAAAAAAAAGTAAAACTTTTGCTTGCATTTCAAAATATTATGTAGCTTTTTTCCAAGGACAAAAGTGTCTTCACTTTTCACATTTAACTGTAAAAGGTTACAAAAATATTCTAAAATACTCTAATATGTGCATTTGCTAAATGTACAATACTTTTTTGAAATGTCTTGTGATATTTTAGTTTGGTGGTTCTTTAGGTAAAACATACAACTATACAACTTAAAATTGAGGGACAAAGGTCTCTTGCTGGGATTATCACATCCATCCACATTATAAGAATAATACTAATGAGGTGATGAGTTTGTTTTTAAAACACTGTTGAGAATATATATTTTAAAAAAAAGACAATTGTGCAGGCTTCTTTGCGTAGGTAACCATCAAAATGTCTCTCAAATTGTCCATGAGGTCCATACAAATAACAGTAACACATTTAATGGGATACTGGGAAATGGACTGAGGAAATATAACCTGTGTGCAAGGAATGTATATTCACTTTTCAATGCCCACAAGCTCCACAAGGGCCTAAAGGCTCTTTCACATGACTCAACATTACCCTCAGGACAGAGTAAACGTTAACGCAACACCAAAATTAAGTTTGCTGCACCATTTATCACTGTTCTATTCAAAGTGCCAGTGTCAAAGTCAGCAATGCTTTTCATGATTTTTCCATGACTTATTGATCATCTTTACTTACAGCGTGTTTTTGGCCAATTACCTGAGCTGTAAGATCATGGCCGATTGGCTGACTGCATTAAACCCTTCTCTAGTGATTATAATGAGCTCTGAGGAAAAAAAATTAAATAACCATGTCCATATTATGCTTTTAAGAGCCCTCAAAATATAAATTCAGAAGAAAAAACAAAACAAAACAGGCACTGCTAAAACATCCACTATAATATTTGCGAATCACAAATACTTTTGTATGTATGTGACATGTGGAAGAAAAAAAATAGATATCATGGCCACAAAGTAAGAAAATCGTTCCCTCAACTTATTAATTTGTGGCCATGTTGTACTCATTCGTTCCCTCATTTTATTTAAATCACGGCCATGGTGTACTAATTCACCCACTTTGTATTAAATTATTCGCTCATTTTAATTTAGCTAAATCATGGCCATGTATTAATTCGTTCACTTGTTTTAGTTCAATCGTGGCTAACTAATTAGTTCCCTCATTTGAATTTAGTTCAATCGTGGCCACAATCGAACAAGGGAACAAATTAGTAGAACATGGCCACAATTGAACTAAAATGAGGGAACAAATTAAGTTGTGGAAACAACTTCTTCATTTTTTTCTACTGATGTCATGTTTGGGTGCCGTACTTTTAGCTGTCAATGGAGAAAGATGCTTTTTGGAAGCAGATGATTCAATCACGGTATCTACCAACTGGACCATGTTAACTAGCCAAACATCTGGACGCCGGTCATGTGAAAGGGCCTTTATAAACAGCATCACGTGAACGAGCCGCACATTAAGAACCAAGCAGCAGGAACTCCTATTGCCCTGTTTCTTGTGCTGTGAAAATCTTGTCAGCACCTCAGTAAAGTTGGCGAACAGTGTATCACTCATGTACCAGCTTGTCTGGTTTGGAATATCCAAACAGTTTAAAGTCGGCTTCATACAGCCTGTACAGCTCTTTTCTGGACTCCAACGGTAAGTTGGCGAACCAGTCCTGCTCCCAACTGCTGACGGTTTGGTTGTGATGACTTTGCGGGAACTCGACGACATTGTCTACGCGGAGAATCCGCAACAAATGCTCAGCGTCCTCATCCAAGGTCTCCAGCTTCCCCACAAAATCATAATTTATCTGGCAGGGATGGCACAGACGGTACATTTGTCTCCAGTGCTCGTTGAAAGGCATCTCTTTCTCAGTGTTAGGGTCCAATAAATACTGAACGAAATTCGAGAAAGACGGTCGAATCCCAGCAGCGAAAGCGTCCACGACCGATGCTGGTGGATCCGTGTAATTGCTGTATTTTCTCAACATGACGACTGCGAATCTTTTGTAGAAGTCCTCGTTCTCTTGTTCGAATTTGTTGCGATAGGCAGAGATCAGTCGCACGAAAGGATCCCTGACGAACAAAAACTTGGTGTATTTCTTAAGCTTGATTTTCATGAGGTGCCGTGAGAACTTTCCATAGCGCTTCCAGAACTTGTTGAAGGTGAAGTGCAGGCTACTGTTATGGATGAGCTCCTGAGGAACATCCAGAGGGTCTTGATATGGCACACCGTCCAATAACAGGCTCTCGCTCAGCACGATCATGATGCGCTTCCAGTTTGTGCAGGCCACCTTGGGAACGTAACAGTAAATAATCCCATGCCTGTCATCCACGATGAGGTGATCCAATTCTTTATTGGGTATGTCATCAAAAGTCCTGTTCTTTCCGGGGAAGTCAAAGTAACTTTTGTTACCGCACACATCTTGGATCAGCTGCTTTCTACTCTCCTGCCTTTGTTTTTTCTCAGGGCCAATTGGAGTCAGATGAATCTTCCACTCTCGTCTCGGGACAAATTTCTCCTCCGATTTCTCAGAGGACTGATTGTGAGGGTCTCCAGGGGGCGGTTCTCCTCTCACCTGTTCCGTGGGGTCTGCGGTTCCTTCTAAAAACTGGTTGACAAAAGCATCAATGTCTGTCAAAAACGAGCCCTCTTTGTCTTCCTCTACTTTCTTTTCTGGGTCACGACGGCTCTGTGGAGAGAGGCATGATGGTTGGGGCCCAGAGATAGTTGTGTGCAGGTAAAAATTTGAGGCCCCCACATCATCCCAGTATATGATTATAAGAAGGATCATGAAGACAGCGCCCACTATCATAAAAATGCGGAACAATCTCGACTTTCCCATTTTGGTCGATTTTGACTGAGAAAGTGCCATTCTCACCTCAACTCCATTACACAATCGACAGCCCAGACTGCATTCATCATAGTCTGAAGTAGAGGAAAACAAATCAGAAAATGGAAGTCAAGAGTATGTCAGTGTTTTGTAATATTGTGGTTCTCTTTATGCAATAAAAAGTAACATTTCGTATTCTCTTTATATGACAGAGCATCTATATTTCTGTCTAATTGGTCAATCGTAATTGAGCAGTCAAATGCTGTAGTATAATGAGAGCAAATCGATATATTTCATGGCTCACTATTGCTATTAGTGCTATTTTAATGTCATCATGATACACTGTAGAGACGTGTTAGCTAGCTAACTTCTGGAATACACTACACAACTTTTGCCCTCATTTACAGTCTGAAGTCAACTCTAGTTGCTTCAAGTCAGTCAGTCAGCAGATTTTGAGCAGTCAAGAGCTGACAGGTTTCACAGAAAACTGCTTAGTCTATGATGGGCACAGACTCAAATCTGTTCGTTTCGGGCTTTCACTCTATCCAGTCGTTGGAGATCTAACATGTCTGATATTTTTGAGCACGTATTGTTTTCATTTGTTGTGCATTTTCTAGCAATGAGGTGCATGTTTCTGTGTGAGTTTGTTGTGTTCATAACAACTTCTGGTAGTGTGTGATTCTCAGTTGTTAAGTGAAGCCCAGGCCAGTTTTTCTCTTTAACCATTTATAGCCTTGGCAAGTGTACGATGCCAAGTGTTTTAAAATCTGTTCAGATTTTTTAAAATGTGTACTCAGAGCTGGGTAACCTCAGACTACAAAAATTAAGTACTTGTAATTAGATTAGGCCTATATTACATTTTAAATTACTCGTAATCAGACTACAACAGTTACTTTTTATGATGGGAAGTTGTGGCCTAATGGTTAGAGAGTCGGACTCGTAACCCAAAGGTTTATTGATTACATGATCACATATTATTCACACAATAGCAATAAATTATTAATAATTTATTGATACTTCCTAATCTTCTTTTTTCATCGTTCATCCCATTTGGGAAACCTTGACATAATGTAACGTTTAATTAGGGCTGGGTATCGAGTTCGATACTTTTTAGGCACCGACCGAAATGCCTCAATACCATCGAGTATCGAAAAACGTTTCGTCATTCGGTACCAAATTTCGATACCTAAGGGGTTAATCTCATCAGTGTCA